TTAGGAGTGGTTGTGATCGACAAATTACGCTATTCTTAGTTAGAAATGGATGATATGGAAGAAATTGTAGGGCTTTTGTACTCCAAGCTATTGTTGATGCAAAAAGAAAAAAGAAAAGAAAAGAAATATATATATATATATATATATACAAAAATGCTTTGTTTAGAAGGATGTCAATTTGGTTCAAGTCTGGGGGAGGATGTTAGTATAGTTGAAGAAAATTTTGTTTGTTCAAGGAGGGAAAGCTTAAGTGCATTTATCTCAAAGTACTTGATTTATTCCTTAAACCTATTCTTTCAATTGCCTATACTACATTACAAGCTCATAAGGCCCTTTTGATTTTTAAATCCAATAAGATAACCTGTAGGTGGAGAGATAGGGAGAAGTTGGGTGGGTGTGGAGTTCCATTGACCAAAATTGCTTTATACAAGTTGAATTGAGGCTGTTGACTTCGGCAATTGTAGGATAAATATGTCTTGACTCTATTCACATACTCACACTTGAAAAGCTAGCTTTAATTTTATAGATCGTGCATTCATTAATGTTCTACTTTCTTCTTATCTAGTATGCTTCCTTGAGCAACTGATGAGGGCGAGATCGTGCATGCATGGTAGATGGATGATATGTTAATTTAGTTGTTTTACTTGTTTTACTCGAGGACAAGTAAAGATTTAAGTTTGGGAGTGTGTTAACCTAATGCCAATTCAACACATTTTCCAATACTTCAATTAACTAATCAGTTCAATTGTAAATATTTTGGCTTTAAATTTAGGAAAATGGGCTTTAGTTGAAGGTTACCTTGATAATAGGATTTATGGGCAATTTTTGTAAAATTCTTGCCTTGATTTAAACTTTAAAGATCTCATAGTTGTTTTTATTGTTTCTGGTGACTTCTTTTAGGTAATTGTAATGATAGAGAGTCAGATGATGTTTGAAGATGCATTTGAAAACATAAGGGAAATAGCAATTGAGCTGTAAATAAAGATTGAGGGCTCTATGCCAAGCGCTGCGACGCATATGCGTCGTGGCATGTGGCACAGAGAAGGACTTCCAGGAATTGCACAAGCGCCACAGCTCATGGACACCACGCCACTCCATATTTTTGCACATGCACTATGGCGTATGGCTTAAATTCTGTAGTAGAATTTAAAATCATTTCCACGCCTCTAGAAAGACACACGAATTTTAGAGGTTCTTTGAAGCTTGCTCTGCTAGGGTTTAGGGTTCTTGAAGAAGATTTCACCAAGAATTGAAGATTTGAAGAAATTCAAGTGGATTTCCTTTAATTTTTCTACTTCCTTTCCCTTTTCTCTGTGTTTCTGATATGGGTGTTGAACAAGTCATTCTTTGTTGCTCTTTTCTGAACATGTGTAGCTAGTTTTCTTGTTCTAGCATTATTTCAAACTTTTATATGGATTAAGACTTGATTACTCCTCTCTTATGGTAGTTAATGATATATATATATATATATATATAAGTTAATTTAAGTGTAGAATATATAAGTTTTATCCTATGCTTAATACTCCTGAATACTTGATCACTATTTAGATTGTTTTGTTCACTTAGGTTGTGCTTGAGAAAGCTAATTTAAGTGTAGAATTTGGATAAAATAGGTTGGACTTAAAATTTACAAAGATGAATAGAGATATTTTGTAAACCATTCATAGTCACATTAAGGTTAGTGCTTAAAAATTATTTTCACTAATCATTTTCAAGAGATTGCGAAATTTTAGTGTTGGCAAAGTATATTTGATTTTGACTTGAGAACGCTTTTTTAAATAAAATAGATTTTAGACCAACACTTATTGTCATTACAAATCATTTTGAAAGAAAATAGTAATCTTAAGTTCTGAAGTATAAAGGGAAGAGATAATCATAAGTTCTGATCTCTTGAATTCGTAGTATCAACTAAATTTGTTCTAAATTACTTTTTTAATTTAATTTTCATCTTTTCACACAAACTCAATAATTGATTTTGCTTAACCTAATTCAAAGTCTAATAGTGAATTTTTAACTCTGCCTAAATTCTCATGGGAACGATAACTTTAGAAAACTTTTTATACTTGTGACGACCCCTACGGAAAGCATTATTGCTTTCACATCAAAGCATTGAAATCTAACCTAAAAAAATTATTCTTGTCAAAAAAGAATTTTAGCCATTGCTTTATGCATCACAAAATTTTAAAGTGATTTATTAAACCAAAAGTTTTTTGTTAGAGTTGATTGCAATCAGCTAAAGACATTTTGCACAAATTCTCTAGTAAGATAGTCTGAAAGAGAGTTTGTAGAAGCTCAAATATATTCAATTTCAAAATCAAAGCCTCAAATATATTTGCAGAGAAGGTAGAAATGCCTCAGAAGAAAGGAAAAGAGAAAATGGAGAAGATTGACTTAGCAGCACTCTTCTTAATAGGGTCATTGACCTAAAATTTAAATGAGTCATCAACTCAACCATCAACCAAAAAAGCAAGGTCATTTACCCTGAAAACCGCCAACTAAGAAATACCTAACTCTTTTAAATTAACCCCTAAAGCTATTCAAGCCTTAGCATCATGATTAACCCAAACAAACATGAGTAGACATTGTTGAAGAAGAAGATTTAGATTTGACAACTCTTTCCTACCTTATTAAAAACCTCAAAAATATACAGTTCATTATTGTCAATCAAAAAACAAACAAGTGGCCTAGTTACCTCAGCCAATTTAAAGAACTAAAACCAGTTATAATATCCCACCGCTTGATAAAGCCACAGACATTATCCAAAATTAATCACGAATTTTTTTCCAAAAATCCAAACCATATAGCCTTACAAATCTTTCTCCAAGGTTCTATTTCAAGCCCACATCCTTGAATAAGACCTAACAATTTTATGAACTTATCTTAGTTGACACTGAGTCCACAACCTTGAGATACAACCCTGAAAAAAAGGATGGGACAAAAGACCTATCATTTGGACCCATTCTATATTACAAATTAAAAAAGTTCTCACTCATGCTGATTGGGGCCAAAACCTTAGTAAACCAAAGAAATTCATTGTCACTTTTGACCCATGAGATTATATTGATGTCTAGTACAATAAGTTTTGGTACTAAAATAAATATTGGCATCACACATTATTTCAAAAGGGATTATATCCTTACAAGTTTCCCCCAATAGTTCATTAAATGGTGGGATTAATTTGGATTTATTGAAGAAATTCTACCTACTGTTATTAAACAAGAATTTCCCACCTTCAAATTAAAAATTAACCTTATAATGTCTTTATCAAAAATGTCTCTATTATCTTTATCATGCATTAATCAAAAAAGGAATCATCTTGGTTCTTCTACACTTTTCATCAAAAATGTCTTTACCACGGATATTTGCTTGGCATTACAAGTATACCAATCCACCCAATGGCTCATAACCTCATAAACCAATATGTTTCTCAACCAAAAAAGCCAGATCCATGCATGCTTGGCTTTAACCTCAACAGACTTTTATTAACCAATTAAAAAATGAACTTTTTTTAGTAGAAAAAAAAGACAGTCCATTACAGCCTTTGCTTTAGAAACTCTAGAGGAAGAAGATTATACACAAGAAAATGAAGATGAATGCTTTGGAATTAACCTTGAAAAAGATTAGCCATTTTAAAAAAGAGAAGAAAAATTATTTAAAAAAAAAGAGGTTAGACTGTTGATCATTGGATCATTGAAAATTGACTGTTGCTGATTGTCTGATGCCAACTTGACGGCAAGTTGCTAACTGTTAGATTTTGACTAGGTGGCAAGTTAGTGACTGTCAGATGACGATAGTTAAATGAAATATAAACCATTAGATTAAACAAATCTTAATCGTTGGATATTTTTCCAAGGTCTATATAAACCTATGTAAGGTCCCTTTCAAGGGCAAGCTTGTATAGAAAGAGGTCTTGGGAGAGAGAGGGAGTCTTCTTTGTAAGCCTTCTTTTCCATCTTTTTGAATAAATTCTTAATCTTCCTCTACTTTCTTGAATAAATTGTAGTTTTTTGCTTTCTGCATCTTTTGTCTAGATCGTGTGGGTTACCAACATTCTAGCATTATGTTAGTTCTTTATTTTTTGCATCTTTCTTTTCTTCCTTCTTTATTTTCTACATAATTAACCTAGCAAAGACATCTGTATCCTATTTCTCTTCCTATTCTTCTTCTTTTTCCTCTCCCTTTTTTAGGCACTCTCCTCCCATATGGGATCAAATGCAAACAGAAAATAATGGTTAAATAATGATTGTTTTCTTTTCTTTTAAATAAACTACATTTGATTCTCAATTATATTAGCACAAATGCAAAAAATTCATTTGCCAAATTGAATTTGTTTATCAAAAGTTAGAAATTAATAGCTCACACCCATGTTTCAAAAGTGAAAAGCTACTAAAGGTATTTGCAAAATATACTTTCAAGGAAAAACATAACTTTGAATCATGTACTTTATTTAAGCTTTGTTATAGGTTTCTATACTTTTTTTTAATGTTTCAAGTTCTTACACCTTTTTTTGTTGTTTTGGTCCTTATAACACTACTTATGAAGGCCTCTAAAACATCGAAAAAAGTGCATGGATCTATAATACCGAAAAAAGTATAAGAACATATAACAAAACTCGAGCAAAATACAAGAATCTAAAGTTATAGTTGTCCTACTTTCAATTGGATTTCAAATGGATTTTCATGTAAGCACAATAAATACCTAGATAACATTTACATTCTTTTAAAGGTAAAAAGCTAGATTCAAACAAACCATAATCAAATAATTAAAGCTTAGGGTCACAGTAGGACTAACAAAATATTGTCATAGGGTCATATCGCATGAGATCATTGTTGTGAACCACGCTTTAATTTGGGCTATGATTATCATTATTTTGAAGTTATTTTTGAACAAATTAGCCTTTGTAAGAGAACAAATGGACGAAGAGTGACAAAACAATCCAAGTCTATGTTCTTGTAAAGATGTCACAACTACCAAGCCTCTGTTCCTACACACAAGTTTTATTTTGGGTGTACTATAAACTTTAAGTTTCGGATGAAACCTAACTTTCATACCACTTGTTAGTATTGAGAAGTGACTACCCGAAAATAAGGAGAGAGAGAACAAATAAGTAAAGTGTGAGCTCACAAGCTTTCAATATCGAAGATGTCATAAACACCAAGTTTTTGTTCCTGCAATTTGGGCTAGCCCAATTTTCAAGCTTCAAACGGTATGATGCACAAGTCTTATTTTGGGCCTCAAATGTGTGCATAATATGAGCTTTTCAAGTCTTAAAGTAAACTAAGTTTTCATATCACTTATTAGAAATGGAGAGCGACCACTCAAAAACAAGAAGAGAGAACAAATAGACAAAACTCACAATATTAAAGACAGCCCTAACACCAAGTTCCTACTATTAAGGTTAGCCTAATTTTTGAATTTCAAAAGGTGTTAGACATAAGTCTCATTTTGAGCTTCAAACATGTACACAATGGAAGCTTTTAAGTCTTGGGCAAAACTTGATAGAGAGTGACCACCCAAAATCAAGGCTAGTCTCATTATGAGCTTTTCAAGTCCCAAAGTAAACCAGGCTCTCATATAGATTTCAAAAGGTTAGACATAAGTCACAGACGAAACCCATTAGAGAGTGACCACCCAAAATTAGGGCTAGTCCAATTTTTGGGCTTTAAACAATGTGATGCACATAAGTCCCATTTTTACCTTTAAATTTGTGCAAAAAAAACACTCTAAGTTTATTTCTTGCACTTCCAACAATACACCAAGTTTATGTTTGTGCACAATCAAGGCTAGCTTAATTTTTGGGCTTCAAACAATGTGATGCATAGAAATCTCATTTTGGACTTTGAACATGTGAGTACGAGCTTTCAAGTCCCAAGCAAAACACCTAACTCTGATACCACTTGTCAGAAATGGAGAGCGACCACCTAAAAATACAGAGAGAGAATAATAAATTGGTGAAGTGTGAGTTCGCAAACTCCTAATATCAAAGATATGCCACAAACATCAAGTCTCTATTCCCATTTTATTTCACATTGGAACTTAAGTATGCCACATCATAAACTTGGTTAAGATGTGGTTTCACCTATGGACTTATGTTATAGACTTGAGTATGCTCTTGTCCCATTTAGACCCTCAAGCATTTTGATTCCTTACTATAGCTTTAACCAAAACCCAAAGGATGTTAGAGGAAGGTCAAGCAAACAGCAAATGATTATTCGTTTGAATTTTTTTTAATCTTTAATATTTAATGTAGATCTGTTTTATTCCTTGGTCTTGTGCTATACTAGGTTTATGGTGTTCTTAAAAATTGCATGACTTGTCAGTACATAAAGAATTTAATTTAATTTAATATTTTCAAATGCTTAAAATTATTACCTAAGACAAATTAAATATGGGCATGACTAATTAGATACGGTAAAACAAAAGCCAATAGGATTGATGGTGGAAAAGTTGAAAAGAATGCAACTTATATATCTCAAAGACTTATATCGTTGATATAAAAACCTTAAACTATAAAAAATAGAAGTAATTTTATAAGAGCTGTTTTAAATGTAAAATTTGTGAGAAATTTTTAGATAGATTGGGTGCGTCACATCATTTGTGGTCTATTCAATAAAAACATGACATTCAGATGTCATTAAATATAAATTGAACCTGACATTAATAATAGGACATATAGAAAATGCAAGAAATTAAATTTGTATTATGTTATAACAATAAAATTCGGGTTGGAAAAGAAAGGTGTCCGGGTTACTTATATTCAAGCTATACAAGACATGTATAAGGGATAAGAATGCTTGGTGGTAAAAAAAAAAGATTTTCCTATAAAGATTGAACTGCATCAAGGATCATCTTTGAGTCCTTATTTGTTTAATCTAATCTTAGATGTTTTAACTGAGTATATTCAAGAGGAAATTCCTAAATGTATGCTTTTTACAAATGATATAGTTCTTATTGCAGAGACAAGAGAAAAGATAAATTATAAACTTAAATTATGAAGAAAGACATTGGAGTCAAAAAGATCTGAATAGGAGTAAAGCAAAATATATTTTGATAAGAGATCAGTGAGTAATAACTTGAAAGTGAAATTGGGTGATCAGACCATACCTCAAGTGAAAAAGTTTAGATATTTAGGAGCGATCATTCAACAAAATGAGAAAATTGATGGAGATATTGTACATAGGATACAAACGGAATAGTTTAATTGAAGAAAATCTAAAGGAATTATCTACGATTGTAAGATACCTGATAAACTTAAAGGAAATTTTTATTGAACTGCTTATACCAGCAATTTTATATGGCAGTGAATGTTGGGCTTTGACGGGATAGCAAGAGTATAAAATTAAAGTAGTAGAAATGAAAATGTTGAGATGCATGTACAGATACACACGTAAAGACAAAATTCAAAATGAGTGAATGCGGGAAAAAGTGGGCATGGCACCACGAGAATCACATGAAAGAAAAGTAAAACAGATGATTTTGAGCCTTGTTAACTTTTAATTAACAATATTTCTAAAAATAAATGATAGAATACAATAGTATATATAATCTATGTGGCCAACCTCACTTAGTGGGATAATGCTTGTTGTTGCTATTGTTATAACAATAAAATCAATTAAAATAATATTATATAAAATTTTATTTAGATGACTTAAGGCATTCTAATTAAACAGACTATAAGCTCAAAATTTCTAATTTACATAACATGATGCATTTAGTCTACCTAAGAATTTCTCAAAATTTCTAATAAGCTCTAAAATCGAACCATCCAATTTGTTCTTGGTAAGAAAAGGAAGGAAGTGGAAGTGGGAGGCGGAGGGGCTAGGATTGTCATTAGAGTTGAAAGGAGCAGCAAAGAGATAATTATTATTCTACAGGGTAGATTGAACTTCTATTAGCTACATCTACTCAAAAAAATTTCAATATTAACTTTTAGGATTTAGCCCACATAACTTGTGTCGAATTCCTTCTTAAACATAAGCTGCCTAACATTTTAACAAGTTTAAACGAGCTAGTAAATATAACAAAGCTAAATGAACGCAACATGATATTCTATTTTGGATCTTCAAGGTTAAAATTATTAGAATTGAACAAGTAAATTAACTTGTCAGTATTTAACGTCCTGAAGAGCACACAGCATAACTTCAGCTCTACAAAAGGAAAGTTGTGATCATTAAGGAAGCTAATTTCCATGAGAAATTGCATACAATTATGAAACATTTTTAACGATAGAAACCTAAAAATAGAAAGTAGCCTCCAAACAGAACTTGAGAGCATCTTTATTAAAACATGTATGATTTTGTACCCTTTTATATTATTAACCATAAAATTTGATATCTTCAAAAAATTATTATTCTTATCTCTAAATAATTGTTAATTTTTAGGCTCTTGATTATACATAAATAATAAGAGAAATTAAGAAGAATATTGTTACTAGATACACAATAATTCTCATTCATCAGAAAAATGTCAAATTTTACTAAAGTTGGCCACAACTTCTGATCAGCAAATGCAGAATCCAACATGCAAACAAATAAGAAACAGTTTTCAATGAACTCGTAAATTATACATACCAGTTATGTTTGTATCCCTTGGAACATCCACCACTAGTAAGTAGAGCATAGCCTACAGATAGAAATAGATTCTCTGTTATTAGCTTCTATGCTACATGATGAACCATAGTATTCCCTATGATGAATTAGAGGGAGGGGGAAAATTTAAATCCTATCAAATATATTGGTAAAAGCTCCAGAAAATCAAAAACGTAAGTGGATAAAACATCAGACTATTGACTGAGGAAGAAGTCGCCACACAGAACATAAATATGCGTGCAATCCATGATCTTTCAAGAGCCGAAGAGCCTAAAGCTTAAAAAGAAAATAATAGAGCAAGAAAGAACAACATTAAAGATTGAGACAGCCAGCAACATATAGCATTCATCAGTGCTAGTCAATTGACAAATTTTAGATACCAAAAAAATAGCTAAAATAAATTTTCTAACTCAGGACGCATCAGACTACTGACTGAGGAAGAAGTCGCCACACAGAACATAAATATGCGTGCAATCCATGATCTTTCAAGAGCCGAAGAGCCTAAAGCTTAAAAAGAAAATAATAGAGCAAGAAAGAACAACATTAAAGATTGAGACAGCCAGCACCATATAGCATTCATCAGTGCTAGTCAATTGACAAATTTTAGATACCAAAAAAATAGCTAAAATCAATTTTCTAACTCAGGACGCAGGCTCAAAATTCTTGTGGCTTTTTGAACATGTAATAGTTAGCAATCTGAGCCAAACTGCACATATAATTTCGTAGATCATTCAATCAGAGAGAAAGTATCCAGAAAGAATTATCCAAAGACTATCAAAGCTGTTAGAGGCATAGGGTGCCCTGACAAAATGCTTTTCCCCCGTTCACTCTGCAAATACAGGTATAAATGAGACCGCAAATATAATAATTTCTAGGCTCGAATCCATGTATGTGTTTCACTGAGACTCCTAAGGTTTCTATATAAAAGAGACTGAATAGAAATAACTTAATCCATTCAACTAACATGCAAATACAAGTAATAACATAACCAAATACCCAAGATAAAACTTAATCGACTTAATTAGACTTTAAAACGGAATGTTAGGGTAGAGTCATGGATGATTAACGTTTGTCAACTACGGGGAAATAAACCAATATGTTAACACAATTAATTAATAGTTTGAAAGAACATAATAGAATTTAAGTTTTTATATATCCTTACAGAAACAAGGTACTAATATGAATTCATTAATGTTGCTCTTCTTTATTGAAACTAAACAAGGAGAACAATAACTATCAGACAGATATACTATTGTGCACATGATGAGAAAAAGTCTGCGTCAAGAGCCAAGAGAAAACGTAAAAAAGGACTAAAAATGTTGAAGAAGCAAAAGCCCTAGAATGAACGTAATCACCTGGCTGCAATCACGAGGATAACGCCGAGACTTGGAAGTGATTGAACTTTTTAGAAATTAGCTCCAAGCTCTCGTCCCTTATGACCATCCTCTTGAGCCTGATTGATCTCCTCTAGCCACGGACAGGCAACAGCCATATTCGATCCAAGGCAGGCATAACCAAATTGAAGTTGGCGAAGTGAGGCTTTCCTTTGAGCGAAATGGATGTCAACTTGTGGAACCGTTTGACCACCATGATAGGGCTGAAAGCATAGCAGTTGCCGATGAAAATGCTCCTCCTGCACCGACGTTCGACTTGCAGACCAAGGAGATGGCGTTGCGGTCCTGGTCGGAGTGCATGAAGGAGAAGACGTGCTCGAGGACGCGGAGCGAAGCGGTCTGGGGAAAAGATGCGGTCGAAGGAAGCGGGGCAGAAGCAATGGGGCGGTGTTGTTTAATCTGAAACGCCATGGAGGAGGAGCTTGTAGACTGTAGTTGGCAGGTTGGGGGAGGGGGCTTTGTCTCAACGGCTATAAAAAAGCCGAAGAAAGACCCAACGGCTAAAAAACAAAACGAAGAAAAAACTCAACGGCACGCGTTTTGTCCTTACAACGGTAACTTTTTTAATCTTAAAATGTTATTTTTTATTTTTAAAACAATATTTAAAAATAAACCTTCAACTTATTTTATTAGTTTATAAATATCCTAGATTTTTTTTTGGTCAGAATGAAAATAATACTCTACAACTGACATTTAATCATAAAAAAATATCAATCTTCACCGATTGTTATTATAATAGTTATAATAATTTATAAGAAAAATCACTGTCAAATCCTATGGAGAGATCATTATTCAATCATAAAAAGTTATAATAATTTATAAGAAAAATCACTATTGAATCCTATGGAGAGATCACTATTTAATCATAAAAAAGGGACATTGATGTATATAATTTTTATGACTTTTTTACCAATATACTATATAAAGTAAAAGAAATTGTCTAGATACTGTAAAATGAAAAATATTTATTACAATACTATATCAAAAATTGTTCAAAGAAAAAATGAATTTGAACTTCTAAAAAAGTTGCGCTTGCCTACAATAATTTTAGAGTTAGAAATTATCTTTTTTTATTTCATGAAAAGTGGAAAGTGAACAATCTTAACTTTTTATTATTGATGTGATATTTTATTTTGAATCCCTATTTTCTTTCCCTTCACAATCACTTTGTCAAGTCCTTCTTCATTTATCAAAGAACTCTCTAGCTTTTGCTTTTCACACATGGGATTAGAAAATTCATGTGCATGTGTATTTTACTAGCTATATGAGGGATTGAAAACATAAAAATGGTGGTAGCGAGATTGAGGCTAGATATTGTGAGGTTCTCTAATATGTTTAGAGGTAATACATGTGCTTCTCATTTTATTCCTACATTAGCAAGATTGAATATAATATTATTTACTCTTATTTGCCTAGTATTCTAACATTTTATTCTTACACTTTTCATTCTTGCTCTATCTCTTACCTGTTTCATTTCTCATGCTCTCTCATTTATCTCTTATGCAAAATTTAAAGTTCTTTCTTTCTATTCCATTTCTCCAATTGATGGTGTTAGTGTTAGGATCACAATTTGAAATCAGTTTCTTCTTTTTTATCGGCTTAAAGCCTAACTCTCCATCTGATTAAGGTACACTTTCTTAATATTTTTTCAACTTTTATATCAAAGTCTTTTTTTTAGTAAAAGCTTAATATTTAATCATTAATATTTTGTATGTTAAGTTTTTTTTAATTGCAGATGTAGACATGTATTTAATTTTTTTAATAGAATAATCAAGGATAGAATCAGCATAAATGTAAAGGGGTCAAATTTTTAAAATCAGTATACATTCTTCCATATTTTGATTTATTTTTAATATTTGTACTAATTAATTGTTGATGTAAGTTTATTACATTAAAAAGTTGAGAGAATAAATTACATATAGTATTAATCATAACAAATATATCTATAAATTATATATGGAATTATATGCCTATAATATTAATCATAACAAATATAAATAATATTGGAAAAACTTATCAAATAAATAATATACAAAATTTTAAAGGGAAAATTTCATTTAAGGATTGTAGAAGGAAAATATCTTTAGGTAGCTCTCAAAAGATTGCAAAATTTCAGTTCAATCTCTCAGAACTAAATTGAAAATAAGTTTGATGAGGAAAAGACGAAGCTGCTCTCAGTGCAAATACTAAAGAAAGTAAATACCCATGTTAGTCACTCAATGCCACCTGTTAATTCTCCAATACCCCCTTGCAAACCTCGTCTAAACCATACCCGTGTTTACATATTATCATCAGTTGTTAATTGCGCGACTTCAATTGTAAATTTATTAATGACAGTTGTCAATTTGAGGACAATGACCAAACATGTTCACGACTTTGCTTAATCTTTCATATCTTGTTCGTGGGAAATAGCAGAACACCACTTGGTAAGCACCCAGTGTCACTCATTAATTATTCAATACCCCTTGCAAACCTCGTTGCCCATCAAACTTATCTTCAATTTAGTCCTAGGAGACTAAACTAAAATTTTGCAATCTTTTGGGAGCCACCTCAAGATATCTTCCTTCCACGGTCCTTAAATGAAATTCTTCCAATTCTAAATGTGAAATTATATATCTACAATATTAATCATAACAAATATAAATAGTATAGGAAAAACTTATCAAATGAATAATATAAAAAAATTATATATTTGACATGTTAAAAAACTTAATTTATACAAATTCTCAATTTTTTATAATAATTAATATGTGAAAAAATGTGCATGTTACAAACATGACAAATTCTTATATGTTTTTAGTTTAGGGAGAGGGGTTAGACAACAAACAAACACACATATATTATATAGAAGGCAGAAGTTGTTGGGATTGTGAATCATATCACAAATATATGAGCCAAAGGAAATCTAAAGAGTCCTAATAGCATTGAGTGGCGAAACCTAGCCTTCCTTAAGGACAACGTGGTTCTACCACTAAGAATAATTGTAGTTAGTTTATTAATAAAAAGATTAAATACATATGAAAAAGATTATTACATGTAAATAATACTTCGGTTGGTCTTAAATATAAAATTTAGATAATTAATTTATAATAATTTATGAAATTATGTAAGTTAATTTATTACATTAAAAGTTAGATAATACTTGAATCTTAGGAAGAAAAGAACATACAACAACAATGGATATAATGTATAAAAATGAGAACAAGATATGACATCGGAAGTCACTATTTATGAGGTAAATTAATTGTCGCTTTGTATTCATATAACTTAATCATTCATTATTAATTTTCATAAAAACCTAATGATTATTTATTTATTATTAATATTTTTTAATTTAATACTTCCACCGTAAAAAAATGTAAAGTATTTTTTGAAATGTTAAATATTAAAAAATATAAAGCATTTTTAATTTAAAGTACAATCATTGCTTTTTTTTTCAAAAGTGCTGTTATTAAATAAGTTATTTTATATTTATTTTAGGGTGAAAAACCCTACTAAATAGGGATAAATATAAAAAAATATGATTAATTAAAAAATTAATGCGGTGAAATTTGATTAAAAATGCCTTACATTTTTTAATAGAGGGAATACATCTTATAACAATTCCTTAATCATATTAGTAACAATTATTTATTCATCATTTGTATTCAAATGATTACTAATTTATTACACAAATCATATGATGGAACAGGGTATATAGTTGATAAATCGTTCCTACCAAGAACAAGTTTTGAAGCATAGGAAATGATGTATTGAAGAAACCGTTCTTGATTTGATGAATTTTAAAAAGCATTCTCTTCCTATATGATTTTAGATGTAGTATTTTGAGAAATAATTCCCACAGTATAGCATTTAGTTTTTTTTTTAACTGTGTATAGTCTCTTGGTAGAAAAACTAATTTCTATTGTCAAATTATTAGATTGCTCTTGACATGAAAAAATAAAATGGAGGCTAAAACTCTAGTTCACAATGTTATAATCCATGTATTTCTTAATTTAACAATATTTATAATACATAATTATTGAATAAGCTACTAAACTAACAAAAATAATGTCTCCGACGATAAATGGCCCAATATATAACAAAACGATGCTCAAGTACAAGGTAATCAAAATCTTATAAAGGACGAACAAGGGACAAAATAGATCTAAACACAATCAAATCCAAGATCATATACACTAACCATAAATAAAATTTTAGATCATATAATTCCACCTATGTCTTATAGCCAGTCCCAAGCCTGAATAAAAGAGGAGAGTTGTGTTAGGCTCTCAACAACTAACGTAAAATTTTATTGAATCTCTCATAGATATAGACAATAGATGTTTTGTGCTAATGCTAGCTCCTTACTTGTAAGTAACATGTTGCATGGCTTGAGTGCAATGATAAGTGAGTTAAGGCTGCCCCATAGAAGCCCGGATGTAGTGTTAAATGAACAAGAGCTATCACATTATTTTGGACAAGCGTGACTAAAGAAGTTAGTCCATGTGAACAAGATCATACTTGATACTTGGAATGTTGGGACCTTAATTGGTAAATCTATAGTTGTGGTAGGAGTTATGATTTATAGAAAAATTAATATCTTATGCCTGTAGGAAACTAAATGGGCTAGTGAACAAGTTAAGGATATCTAAGGTTTTAAACTCTAGTATACTAGGAAAGTAAACACACGTAATGTGGTAGGTATTATTGTCGATAAGGAGTGAAAAAAGAATGTGGTAAAAGTTAACAGAATTGGAGACAGAATTATTTTCTTAAAAATGATCATCAAACAGAAAACTATCAATATTGTTAGCGTTTATGCACCTTAAGTTAAGATAGAAGCTAGTCATAAACAATTATTTTGGGAAGACTTAGAGGGGTTGATCAAAAGCATACCACATAATTAAAAGATCTTTATTGGAGGTGATTTTAATGGACATGTTGGGAGGGAGGCAGGTCATTATACGAAGGTGCATGATGGTCTGGGTTGTGGAGAACTAAATAATGAAGGGCAACATATCCTTGATTTCTCTTTGACGTATGATTTCAAGATTGCTAATACCTATTTCAAGAAGAGGAATAAGCATCTCATCACTTATAAAAGCAAAGCTTTAAGGTCACAAATTGATTTCTTTTTGGTAAGGAACACGGATAGAAAATTTTGTAAAAATTGTAAGATAATTCTTGGGGATGTTGTTACAATACAGCACAGGGTCCTTGTCCTTGATATGTCTATTATGAGTAAAAACTAAAAGCGTCGACAAGTAATAAGTTTAAGGATTAGGTGGTGGCAATTAAAAGGTAAAAAGAAAGAAATTTTCAACAAACTTGGCCAAAAGAATTTGGGAGTCTCGAGAAAGTGCTAATACCTTATGGAAAGACTTGGCTGTAAAGGTAAGGAAGGTTGCAAAAAAAGTTTTGGGAGAATCAATAAGTTTTGGTTTGAGAAATAAGGAGTCTTGGTGGTGG